TTCTTCTTCTTCTTCTTCTTCTTCTTCTTCTTCTTCTTCTTCTTCTTCTGCTTCTTCTTCTTCTTTTTCTCTTCCACCTTGTACCTCAGTGAAGTGTCGGGGGAAGACGTAACATTGGTTGCTGATTTTCTTCTTCTTCTTCTTCTTCTTCTTCTTCTTCTTCTTCTTCTTCTTCTTCTTCTTCTTCTTCTTCTTCTTCTTCTTCTTCTTCTTCTTCTTTTCTTCTTCTTCTTCTTCTTCTTCTTCTTCTTCTTCTTCTTTTTCTTCTTCTTCTTCTTCTTCTTCTTCTTCTTCTTCTTCTTCTTCTTCTTCTTCTTCTTCTTCTTCTTCTTCTCAGGTACCTTGTACCTCTTTGAAGTGTCGGGAGGAGACGTAAAGTTGGTTTTTGACTTATCGTATCGTCTACTTATCTAAGTCCTTTATCAGATTGTCAAATTTGTAAACTTCCTGTGCACATTATTGGGCTGGTTCTGTGGAGCTTCGAGCGAAATGTTTTTCGAGTTTTTTTATTTGTCGCGTTTCTGTAGACTTTAATGAAAACAAACATTTACTGATTGTCTCCAGACTGATATGGTTGCTGTCGGTTCTTGGAATGACCGGGGCTCTGCTGTATACCGTGGCCATGTTGTTAATTGAGTACTACCAGTACAACACGGTGACAACGACCGACGTGAAGATCACTGAATGGGCCACTTTCCCCTCCGTCACCTTGTGCAACACTTGTCCCTTCAAGAATGTGGACGCCAGAAGCGACACAGCTATTTTTAAGTTGGCAGCTAGTGTCTCAGACCTGAAATCTAGCGCCTTCCAGGTCAACAACTCAGAGTGAGTATGTATGAACTCTTTCAGATGTTTGTATACTGTATGTGTTGTCTTCATGCTTATCAGACGTGTTCTTATAGACTGATTGGTTCTGCACTACTTGGCGGGAAATCGATGCAAGGCAAGCTAGATGTAAGGGCCACTGGGACGAGTGAACAGTGCGGAAGCACAGATAGATCATCACGGTCTGAGGTGAATGTTGCTGCAAGCAATGAATAAGGGATCTGACCGATGATCAACACTCAGGTGAAACGCGAAACGGATAGGCGATCAGATTGTTACTGGAACCATCAAAACTGGAACTTTGCGCTTACTACTGAAGATAGTGTTGGAGCGTTTATGGGAATATCCGAGTGATGTGATGTCAATTCTCAATTAAAAACATTAGGCGTTATGTTATCTGTGTGTGTGTGTCTGTGGGCTATCAAACGTTATCGGTAAGTCTGTAGGCTGTCAGATGTTTATATATGTGTATGTATGTTGGCCAACAAACGTTATATATGTGTCTATCTATGCTTGGGAGCTCGGAGCTGTTTATTTATGTTTGTATGCTATAACATGTTTATCTTATAGCATAGTCTATAGGCTTTTTCTAGGAGTTTTTCTTCTTCTTCTTCTTCTTCTTCTTCTTCTTCTTCTTCTTCTTCTTCTTCTTCTTCTTCTTCTTCTTCTTCTTCTTCTTCTTCTTCTTCTTCTTCTTCTTCTTCTTCTTCTTCTTCTTCTTCTTCTTCTTCTTTTCTTCTTCTTTTTCTTCTTCTTCGTTTTATTCTTCGCGTTCACTAGCTGTAAAATCCGACAGAAAGCTCTGGTTGTTCGTCCACTTCTACATTTAGATCTTGTTCCAATACTAAAGTTTTGCGTGCAATCCGTTTTAATATTATAGATACAGCTCAGGTTGGTTGCTGGCTGCCAGGTGGATGTACTGCGAATTCGAAGGAATCATCTCTAATTAGTTCCCTTCCTCGTCATGCCTGTTGGAGGAAGTGGGCCTCATCTCTCCACCCCCCCCCCATCCTCACCCCCCCCGCAATGTGGCCACAGAACCAATTTGGAGAGAACTAAGATAAATATTCAAATATAAAGGTCAATAATTCAGTCGGTAGGTTTCTAGGTGTGCCGGAGGGAAAACTTGGAGCTAGCTTTATCCGTGTTGTTGTTGTTATTTTTTGTGTGTTTGTGCAATGCAAGTTTGGACATTTAGGGTCTAGCTACAGAGCTGTCCTTCTGACTGTCCACAGCCCTGAGATGGAAGCTCTGATGGCCACGGACATCCTGGACCTACAATACAAGTATGTCTACACGGCCGAGGACCTGTTCTTGCGGGCCCAGTACGAGAGGAAAGACATCAACATATCAGACGCATTTGAGGTTAGTCCTTCATGTCCAAATATTGTCTACCTTCCTTCTAAAGTTATACTCTGTTGTCTACCTTCCTTCGAAAGTTATACTTTGTTGTCTACCTTCCTTTTAAAGTTATACTCTGTTGTCTACCTTCCTTCCAAAGTTATACTCTGTTGTCTACCTTTCTGTTAAAGTAATAATCTGTTGTCTACCTTCCTTCTAAAGTTATACTCTGTTGTCTGCCATCCTTCTAAAGTTATACTCTGTTATCTACCTTCCTTTTAAAGTTATACTCTGTTGTCTACCTTCCTTTTAAAGTAATAATCTGTTGTCTACCTTCCTTCTAAAGATATACTCTGTTGTCTGCCATCCTTCTAAAGTTATACTCTGTTGTCTACCTTCCTTCTAAAGTTATACTCTATTGTTATGTAATTACTCCTCCTACTGCTTCTACTCGTTATATCTTGCATGTTTCACACCGGCAGACGAGTTTGTTTGATAAAATTGACCTTTTGTCAGGTCCTCTTTCGTAAATAGTTAGTTAGTTAAGTCAAGAATCGGGTTATTCCCATGCGTGCTCCGTCCTCATCTTCAGCAACCAACGCAGAGTTCCAATACTGATGGTACCGGCCACTATCTGGTTATAGGTCCGTCTCGCCTTTCCTCTGAGTGTACCGAGTCGGCCAAAGCCTCTGGTTACACTCAGGTGTCTTATTCTCTCCAGGCCATAATAATCTCGCATCTCTACTGATTCCGTTACTTGTTCCCAAAGCGCCTTGACAATATCAACCCTGTCATGCATCAGTTCACCACTTAGTAGTGCAGATCCAGCCAATCTGTCTGCCTGTTCATTACCCAACACGCCGGCATGACCTTCCCAGTTAAGCTTGCCACTCTGCTCGAAGCATCCCTGTCTTTACTTTTCTCAGCATGCTTTCAGAGTCTGTTACTATTACGACATGTGTATGCATTTTGTTATCTAGCCACCGGAGAACTGCAGTTACCACCTCCACCTCCATTCTCATGCTAGACGTTGTGGTGTCGTATGCTAGACTGTCTTGCACTAAAGATTTTCCATTGGCTTTCGCTACGAACTCCCAGGCACTTCTCTTTCCTCTCACCGCCGAACCATCTGTATAGATAATCAGATCACCACAAACGAAACCGAGAGTCGTCACACAAAGACATTTGTTTTCTGAGATCATAGATTTTTGCACCCCCTTGAGGGATGCAATTTTTCGTTATTTGAAGCCCTACTCTGGCTCTTGCAAGGGACCGCAATATAGCCCGGTCATAAATATGGTCTAATGGCTGAACGCGGTGATCCTCATCCACATGGTGGCACTTTGTGTCATGGGGTGCTTATCGCTTGTGTTATGTCCTGGTTTGATAAAAGAAGATAGAGATAGATAGATCATAAACAGCCAGACAAGAGTGCAGCAAGGTCAAAGACATGTTTTCTGCGAATCCTTGGCTGGTCCATTACGATTTTCTACCACAGGACTGTCAAAGAGTTCTACACACCGGGAGCAGAGTGAAGCCTAGGAAAACAAATAAAGATCGAAGGAGTCACTGGCAACCGAAAACATCACAAAAATCACAGCATACCAAACAACTGAGCTTGCCCTAGCTTGGCTACCTATTATCTGTTTAACTGTGCGCCCAACAATAACAGGCAGATATTAACAAAATAAGAAGTCTGGCTGGACGCCATTCGAAAACTTTGTGACGCTGTGAGACAAATCAGTTGTGGTTTGTGGCTAACGGCAGTTTGTGACTTCCATCATGCTATTTCCTTGGCTGATTCATGTAGGCTAAGTAAAAATATCGTTGCCAATCACTGCTTTCATCTGGATAATATTCCACTGTATGTCATTGAGCATCTCAACGGGAAAAAGGGGAGTGGGGTGGCGGGGGTAGGAATGGCGGCACAACGTAAACACACACATTTGACGTTTTGGTCGGAGTCTTTCTCGACAAAAACCACGTGGTCTGGTTCACCAGTTTTCGTTTCATTCATATCTATAAAGGAAAACATTTTTATATGTAGCATGACGATCGAGTTGTACCCCTCTTCTTTAAATGTTTCCAAACATTAAATGACCTCTAAAAGAAGTGTGTACACGCCGATAGAAAGATGCTTTGATGCGGATTATGGTTTCAGATCTATAGATGGATATCTGTGTTTGTTCCTGTCAAAAATATATGTTATTTCATATGTTTCATACGTTTCACCGGTGTTAGGTCCATAGTATACGTGTATTAAGTCCACTGTATACATGTGGTAGGTTCATTTCATTGGTTCATCTCACCTGTGTCTGTACACAGGTGATCGAGACTTCGATGGGTCGCTGCTTCACGTTCAACGGTCCGGAATACATCTTCAAAAACGGACCAAGAGTGGCCACCCAGGACGGGCGAGAGTCCGGACTTCGAGTTTATGCCCGCCTCAATCAGGACAAGTATTTTATATTTCGTGATTTGACTGCGGGGATACGAGTAAGTGTCACAAGTGCATCTTTTCTTGGGCAACACCACTGACTGTCTTTATTGCCACTACAGTAACATTTTGATTAACCCGCCACCCACCGTGCCAAAGCTGTGACTGATAATCGAATAAATAAATCGAAAACAGAAATGTCTTTAAACAAATGTACAGTCACGTGATTTCACTGCGGGCTTGAGACGAACGTTAAAATAAAATCTTTAAAAGTGAATAATACATACCTAATGTATTTAATTTTACAAAACGATCAATATAAACTTCAGTATAAGCGTAAAAAAGTACATAAATGTATCGTAATATCTATGTTATTTAAAAATAATCTGTCACCTCCATCCAAAAGTAGCCCGCTGACAATTGTCAAGATTGTATATTCATGCTTTTTTTTTTTTTTTTTTAACGAACGATCGTTTTAATTGAAGTTTACTGTGTTACATTAAGCTCTAATAACACCACCACTGTCAGTGTCTGTCGCTTACGAGTTGCGAACGCTCTTTGTAGTGCGGGGGTGCCGGGCTCGATGCAAACTGCCGGCCTTGAGCCTTGCGTCTGTTTCGACAGTTGTATCAAGAAGCCGACTGTCCAGAAAGCAATGGCAAACTACTGGATGTAAATTTGCCCACAAGAACTAAAACAGCGAATTGATGCTGGGGTTGGTTCTGCAATGTCCTGTAAAGGATACGCAACTAACTTTTTTTTTTTAAAACACGGCAACTACTACAGCGAGAATTACAAAATGACCAACAGCGCCTGCTACTGTTATAACTAGAATTATTATACTACCGGTACTACTGCAGTTACTATCATTACTAGTTCTACTATTATCATTACTAGTTCTACTATTATCATTACTAGTTCTACTATTATCATTACTAGTTCTACTATTATCATTACTAGTTCTACTATTATCATTACTAGTTCTACTATTATCATTACTAGTTCTACTATTATCATTACTAGTTCTACTATTATCATTACAAGTTCTACTATTATCATTACTAGTTCTACTATTATCATTACTAGTTCTACTATTATCATTACTAGTTCTACTATTATCATTACTAGTTCTACTATTATCATTACTAGTTCTACTATTATCATTACTAGTTCTACTATTATCATTACAAGTTCTACTATTATCATTACTAGTTCTACTATTATCATTACTAGTTCTACTATTATCATTACTAGTTCTACTATTATCATTACTAGTTCTACTATTATCATTACTAGTTCTACTATTATCATTACTAGTTCTACTATTATCATTACTAGTTCTACTATTATTATTACTAGTTCTACTATTATTATTACTAGTTCTACTATTATTATTACTAGTTCTACTATTATCATTACTAGTTCTACTATTATCATTACTAGTTCTACTATTATCATTACTAGTTCTACTATTATCATTACTACTAATGTACTACTAAAACGGCTGCTAGTAAAATCCTACCATTACCATTTTACGACTATATATCTGTTATATCTCGGTTTGATATTGCTAGAATAATCACCATCACTACTACCACCACCACCTGTACTATTTCTACTACTAAAACTACTACTTCAACTACAACAACAGCAACAACAACAACAACAATAACTACTATTACTACTACTACCACCACCACTACTACTATTACTACTACTACTACTACCACCACCACTACTACAATACCCTACTACAACTCCCACCACTACCACTACTACTACTACCACCACCACCGTTACTACTACTACCACTACTACCAACACAATTACAAATACCATCACTACTACTACAACTACTAGGAATCGATTCTGTCTTGCCTCTCCCAGATGTTTATCGCCTACCACCCGGACACGCCCAGACTTCGAAAAGATGGAGTCGACATACATCCGGGCACTTCAACCCGGATAGCAATTAACCCAATCAAGGTACAGTTAGCAAATGTCAACGATAGAAGTTGCCTTGTTGTCCAACCTTGTGTGTATGTGCTTGTCCTTCTTCAAGGCACTGTAACCGATGTTTTCGATCTTGTACCGACCCTTGAATCTCTTCCTGACTCTGTTGTCAGTGTCAGTGAACTTGAGCCAATTTGGCTTGATTTTGCTGTATAAGTCGGCAGAGTTTCCCTGACTGCGACCAACAGCAGGGCTGCCAATGAGATTATTAAAATGTAAACATTTTATAGTTACGAAACAAAACATTTACAAACTTTTATATAAGGATTTATTTAAAAAAAAAAAAAAACAGATTTTCCCCAAGGCGTGATATAAAAACCCAGATTGGGGAAAAAGGGGGGGGGGGGGGTGTGGCAGTATTGGTAGCCATGAGCAACAGTGGGCGGCATCAGCAGTTTTTTTGAAGCATGATTTTTGTCAGCGCCACTGCTGTAACAGACACTTTGTGGTGGGTACTGGCGCCTTTTTAAAAACACTTTGTGGTGAGTACTGGCGCCTTTTTAAAAACACTTTGTGGTGGGTATTGGCGCCTTTTTAAAAAACACTTTGTGGTGAGTACAGGCGCCTTTTTAAAAAACACTTTGTGGTGAGTACTGGCGCCTTTTACAAAACACTTTGTGGTGAGTACTGGCGATTTTTAAAAAACACTTTGTGGTGAGTACTGGCGCCTTTTTAAAAACACTTCGTGGTGAGTACAGGCGCCTTTTAAAAAACACTTCGTGGTGAGTACAGGCGCCTTTTTAAAAACACTTTGTGGTGAGTACTGGCGCCTTTTTAAAAACACTTTGTGGTGAGTAATGGCGTCTCTTTTGAATAATGTTGTGGTGAGTACTGGTGCCTTTTTAAAGACAGTTTGTGGTGAGTACTGGTGCCTCTTTTAAGACACTTTTGTGGTGAGTACTGGCGTCTCTTTTAAGACACTTTGTGGTGAGTACTGGCGCCTCTTTAAAGACAGTTTGTGGTGAGTACTGGCGCCTCTTTTAAGACAGTTTGTGGTGAGTACTGGCGCCTCTTTTAAGACAGTTTGTGGTGAGTACTGGCGCCTCTTTTAAGACAGTTTGTGGTGAGTACTGGCACCTCTTTTAAGACAGTTTGTGGTGAGTACTGGCGCCTCTTTTAAGACAGTTTGTGGTGAGTACTGGTATATTTTCTTCTTCAAAGGAAACCTGACGACGAAAGAAATTCGTTGTCTTACTCACGATGCTTGGTTTGACAAGTGCTCTGACAGCCGATTGGGGATATGTTACGTTACGGGGAAAAATATGTTACCCAAATCGGTTCTTTTAATCTCTTTAGGGATTACAGAAATTGTATGTTTCTTTGAATTATTTTCACCTTTTTCATTTCTCTTCTGTCTTCCCCCTCACCTTTCCTCCTTCCCACCTATCCTTCTTTCTTCTGCTGTTTCATGGGTGATCAATTTTGCTAGGCTATTTGCTCTGTGGATGCCCACGAAGTGTTTGAAATGTATGTGATTGTTTCCCTTGTATTGCCATCTCTATATTAGAAATTTGCGCACTGTAACTATGTCAGGGTGCCATCCACTCTTTATGATCTCCAAATTCAGGAGCATCTTCAGCTTACACCCCAAGACCTCTGATTTTTTACCCCTTTCATCTATTATGCCAAGAAAAGTCGGCAGTCAACGCAAGAGTATAAAACTCAGTAAAATCCTTTTCAGAACTGCTGCAGGACATATGCTAACGTTTTCTACGTTGATACAAAAATATTTGGTGTCTTCAGGAAGAAAAGGCAAAGTAAAACAAAACAGCATAAAGCACATCTCGACATCTTCACATAAAAAGACTGAAAAATTCTCCTTAAATCAGGTTAAAAGAGGCAACTTCAACCAGCCGACTAGTAAATAACAATCGAAACGAAACGAAGATTCAAACATGCGTCTGGGAACGTTCACCTTACCAGATAGATGAGCCCAAAGTTATATACACGATTGGAGAAGACTGTTGCTGTTTGTATTGCATGTACATATATTCACACGCCGTACCTAGAAACGTTTCAAATTTTTCTTCTGACAGTACACATTCCAGCCGGCGCCTTACAGATCGTATGGCGATGACTATTGTGAAGTCACCGAGACTAAAGATCTGCGTCACAAAATGGTCAACGCTTCGTTTTACAGTTACAACAGTTGCCTAGAACAGTGCCTTAGTTACAGAGCCTCGCTCAATTGTTCCTGTTACACCCATTTATTGTGTAAGTATATTGTCTTTTACATCTGTTAGTTCAAGTGTTCTTGATATACACATTTGTTACATTGGTTTCCTATATCTTACACACCATAGTTCAAATGTCCCCGTGATACACACATTTGTTACATTGGTTTCTTATATCTTACATACTTCTTCTTCTTCTCTTCTACCATTTACCTCAGCGGGCGTGGGTGAGATGTAAGATTCGTGTGTGCGCTTTTTCCAGTTCATAGTTCAAGTTGTGTTCATTTCTGTTAGGTTGCACCTGAAGTCCTGAAGATGTCGCTCCATTTTACATACACTAGCTCAAAAGTTCTGGATATACTCATTTGGGCTTTCCTCCGAACTTCTACCCCCGCAGTATTGCGGCCTGAAATATCCGTTCAGGACGCAGTCCAATAAAAAATATGTCGGCTCCGTATAACGAAACAAATGTAAGGTACTCCTAGGGTCTCAGCGATATGTTACTTGCGGACCTGTTTCTTATTGTTTCTGATTACCTGACAATTCTAAGCGACGTAACACTGCAGACGATAGTAGCAGACGATAATAGCGACCGTTGACACTTTCCATTGTCGACCTTTCTGCCGACGAACAAATCGCGGCAAATCTAGGATCGGCTCGCAAAAACAAAACAAATGCTCTAACAGGCTCTCAGCGAAATGTTACTTGCGTACCTGTTTCTGTGACTATGCCTCACCGCCGACCGTATCCCCTCGCCGCGCGTAGGGGCGAAACTAGATGGCTGGGACTCACGAGCGGCAGCTACCGCATCTCCTGCAACTTCATCCAATTACTTTGCTCGTGAGTTCTAGGCACCTAGTTTAGCCACCCATCCGCGCCGCGCGTAGCGGCGCCGGGGATACTTTCGGCGGTGAGTTTTATCGCGTTTTGTGCATGCCGACAAGTCTGACATCTACCGCTGCTAAATCCTCAATCGGAAGAACACTATTGCTAATCTGCTTAGGAGCGCGTGGTCTACCCGCCATATTGCTTTCATCGTCTGTAATGTCTCGAAATTGTCAATGGTCACTTTTATCGTCTGCTAGTTACGTCTGCAGAACACGCTCGACAGTGTCACACGTCGCTTTTATCGTCTGCTACTATCGTCTGCAATGTTGCGTCTCGTGACATTGTAAGGTACTCCTAGTTTTGCCGCAATTTGTTCCTCGGCGGGAACTCCGACAAGTCCGAATTTTTAATTGGACTGCGCCCCGAACGGATATTTCATGCCGCAACACTGCGGTGGTAGAAGTTCGGAGGAGAGCCCACATTTGTTCTATTGCTTTGTTACATTTTACATATCCTAGTTAAATGTTCTAAATGCATTCATTTGTTGTATAGGTGACGAATGCGATACCGGGAATGCCTCACACATTTGCCCAAAATCTAGGGGAAACATTCATAAATGTCAGTCTTGCACACATAGGGTTTCCTCAGGCGACGAACCATAGCCGCCAACCCTGACTGGCATGGCACATGCTGATTGTGATTTTACTGGAGCAAAGGAGGATCAGTCCAAACAGGAACACCACAATAAGCCAGGCACGTGTAATAAGTTATCAACCACAATATATCTGACACAGATTACGTGTCCTTGCCGTTAGCACTAACACTGTTGCTGTAGTAACATCTAGCAGACAGTGCCTCATGATCTTGAGACTCAGGTCTTACAGACTCGAGTGAATCTGACGGTTTGGACATGTCTGCAAAATGGTAGAGAATTGGGCAGGCATGGGAGAAGCAGGCATGGGAGGCCAAGAACTAGTCCATCAGGACGATCCAGGGTTCGCTGGGAAGACAAGATCTGACAGTCCCTGACTGACAAAGCACTCGAATGTAACAAAGCCAAAAAGACAACTGCTGACTGAGAAGTCTGGTGATCTTCCTGGCAAACCTCTGCACCCCAGGGTAGAGAAGGATCGATAAAGTTACATCTAGATCAAAGCATTGCTGTTCGCTGTATGTGATGTAAAGTATTGATGTATTGTTGCATGAGATGCTAAGTTTGGTTGTACTGTGCCACTTACTGTAATTGTCATTGTTGTGTGTAATCGTCAGATGTCCCAAATCTTCCAACTTGTACAGTCGGCATTTTTCTCAACTGTTTTACCAAGGTCAGAGGTAGGTCCCTGCACTCTTTATGTACACTACGACATTATTTGGATTTATTAATGATTTTATTATTATCACTGCAGATTAATCATTCAGCTATCGTGCATCTGATTGTTGCTTTTGAAGACTGGGGTTGATTTCTCTCGAGTTAGACATCTCTTGCATGTTTAAATATCTATCAGTCTCTACTACCACCACCACCTCTATTACTACCATCAGCACCATTACTACCACTACCACCACTACCACTTCTACTGCATAAACCACTATTACTACCACCATTATTAATACAACAACAACAACAACAACAACAACAACAACTACTACTACTACTACTACTACTGCTACTGCTGCTGCTGCTGCTGCTGCTGCCACCACTACTACTAATACTGCTGCTGCTGACACAACTGCTACTACTACTACTATAGTTACCGGGATTTGTTTTTAGAAAATAAAGTGCCGGTACTTTTCATAGGGCTTAATAAAAAAAGGTGTTGGTACCCGCCTCAAAGAGCTTTTACAGTAAAATAAAAATTAAAAAAATAAAAAAAACTCCGGTACTCTGGTACATTGCGCACAACCAAAAAAAGCGTTGAGTATAACTATTACTACCACCACCACTATCATCACCTGAAGGTCGTGGTTTAGTTTCACGGCTGCGCCCTTCAGTTCACGATTGCAATTTTTACGGAGATCCCTAAGGATCGTCACTTGAGCTACGGCCTTCGTGCTGTTCGCGGCGTTTTTGATGGAACCATATTGGATCAAACCCGGTGCAATGAAGTCGATTTAAACAGCTTATGAATTAGAACTTGTTAGCCATACTCACTCTCCCATTCCCCTTCTGTTGGCATATCCTGGCATTCAGGTTTATTTATACATTTACCCAGACAGTCTTTGCTTCAACTATACTTTTATCAGACGGTCCCTGTTTTAACTGTACTTTTACCCAGACAGTCCTTACTTAAACTATACATTTACCCAAACACTACCCACTTTAACTATACTTTTACCCAGACAGTCCATACTTTTAACTATACTTTTACCCAGGCAGTCCAAACTTTACCTATTCTTGTACCCAGACAGTTCATAAGTAAGTAAAAAAAGCGCAAAGGACCCTTTTCCACGCCTTTAAGCGTATAGGGCATATAGGACTAGACCTATATTTTATAGACCAACGGCACTGGACACTGTGGTGGTCGAATCACGCCGGCCGCCTCTACTTCCAGGACTGCACCCAAGTATCCCCTCAAGGCTGTGATTGAAGCAGAAGGGACAGTTCATACCTTAACTGAAATTTTTACCAGACAGTACGGCCCTTTATACTTGCACCCAGACAGCCCAAACTGTAACTATACTGGCCCCCAGGGAGTTCACACCTTAACTAAAAGTTTACCAGAAAGTCCACACTTTATACTTGCCTCCAAGGCGCCCAAACTTCATTATACTTGACCCAGACAGTTCATACTTAATAAAAGTTTACATGAAGTCCATACTTTATACTTGCACCAAGACAGCCCAAACTTCAACTATACTTGTACCCAGACAGTTCATACTTTACCAATTCTTGTAACCAGACAGTTCATACCTTAACTAAAAGTTTACCAGACAGTCCATACTTTATACTTGCACCAAGACAGCCCAAACTTCAACTATACTTGTACCCAGACAGTTCATACCTTAACTAAAAGTTTACCAGAAAGTCCATACTTTATACTTGCACCAAGACAGCCCAAACTTCAACTATACTTGTACCCAGACAGTTCATACTTTAGTATTCGTACAGAATAGTTCAAACATTTAAAAACATTGTATGTTTTTGCATCCTTCAGTCAGTCTGTGGTAACTAATAACTAGGAATGAAAGAATCCTGAGTATTTTAACAAGTAACTAAACTTGGATATTGTCACTGACACCTTAGTAAATGCATGAAAGCTGCATTAGCTTTCAATAAAACCAATCGCTCAATGTTGTCAGCATTAAGGCCGTGTATGCAGAAGCGGGTGTAAGGTAACTACTATTCGTATTCGGTTCGACCGCAACTATTTGGCCGAATACCGAATAGTCATTAGGTCCACTATTCGGCCCCGAAGCGAATACGAAGCGAATATTTGGTAAATCCCTAATTACTACCACCACCACTTCTACTGCATCTACCACTGTTACAACCACCACCACTATCATCACCTGAAGGTAATGTGTTCGTTTCACGGCTGCGCCCTTTAGTTCATGATTGCAATTTTTACGGAGATCCCTGAGGATCGTCACCTGAGCTACAGCGTTCGTGCTCTGCAGACTGCTAGTTGTTCTACAGAGAGAGAAGGAGCCATATGGGATAAAACCCGGTGCAGGGAAGTCGATCCTCTTGACTTTAAATTTAAATTAGAACTGTAGCCACACTCACAGAGAGAAAATTATGTTTTCCCTTCTAAGTTCATGTCCTGGCGGTTCATACTTTATTTATACGTTTACCCAGACAGTCTATGCTTTAACTATACTTTTATCCAGACGGATCCTGCTTTAACTATGCTTTTACCCAGACAGTCTCTACTTTTCCTATACTTCTACCAAGACAGTCCCTACTTAAACTATACTTTTACTCAGACAGCCCAAACTTTACCAATTCTTGTAACTAGACAGTCCATACCTTAAATAAAAGTTTACCAGACAGTCCACACTTTATACTTGCACCAAGACAATACTTCAACTATACTTGTACCCAGACAGTTCATACTTAGACTACATTTACTATTTACTTATAAAACAAACCATCAACAGAAAGCCTGAAACCTGAGAGCTGCGACTGCCCTCGTCCTTGCTCGTTCACCTTGTTCGACACCACCATGTCAGCCTCTCAGATGCCGTCCAGTGTCTCGGCCGAGTACCTGCGGGAGGTGGCCAACGCTACCAGTACGCCAGATCTCAGGTAGCTCGGGTAGATGGGTGGGTACCAGCACGCCAGATCTCAGGTAGCTCGGGTAGATGGGTGGGTACCAGCACGCCAGATCTCAGGTAGCTCGGGTAGATGGGTGGGTACCAGTACGCCAGATCTCAGGTAGCTCGGGTAGATAGGTGGGTACCAGCACGCCAGATCTCAGGTAGCTCGGGTAGATGGGTGGGTACCAGCACGCCAGATCTCAGGTAGCTCGGGTAGATAGGTGGGTACCAGCACGCCAGATCTCAGGTAGCTCGGGTAGATGGGTGGGTACCAGTACGCCAGATCTCAGGTAGCTCGGGTAGATGGGTGGGTACCAGCACGCTTGATCTCAGGTAGCTCGGGTAGATGGGTGGGTACCAGCACGCCAGATCTCAGGTAGCTCGGGTAGATGGGTGGGCACCATCACGCCAGATCTCAGGTAGCTCGGGTAGATGGGTGGGTACCAGCACGCCAGATCTCAGGTAGCTTGAGTAGATGGGTGGGTACCAGCACGCCAGATCTCAGGTAGCTCGGGTAGATGGGTGGGTACCAGCACGCCAGATCTCAGGTAGCTCGGGTAGATGGGTGGGTACCAGCACGCCAGATCTCAGGTAGATGGGTGGGCACCAGCACGCCAGATCTCAGGTAGATGGGTGGGTACCAGCACGCCAGATCTCAGGTAGCTCAGGTAGATGGGTGGGTACCAGCACGCCAGATCTCAGGTAGATGGGTGGGTACCAGTACGCCAGATCTCAGGTAGCTCGGGTAGATGGGTGGGTACCAGTACGCCAGATCTCAGGTAGCTCGGGTAGATGGGTGGGTACCAGTACGCCAGATCTCAGGTAGCTCGGGTAGATGGGTGGGTACCAGTACGCCAGATCTCAGGTAGCTCGGGTAGATGGGTGGGTACCAGTACGCCAGATCTCAGGTAGCTCGGGTAGATGGGTGGGTACCAGCACGCCAGATCTCAGGTAGCTCGGGTAGATGGGTGTCCTATCGCTAGTATATGTGTTTGATCTGGGTATCGGCTGAAACGTCAGCGTCTGTGGCAGAGGCTTTGCGAACGCACTTCGCAATGCCAGGGTGCCGGGTTCGATTCCGGGTTCGATTCCAGCTGATAGCCTTGCGCCTTGCGTTGGTTTTGACAGTGGTATCAAGAAGCCGACTGTACAGAAAGAAATGGCAAACTACTAGATGTAAATTTGCCAAGAAAAACCACAACAGCCACACAATGCTGGGGTAGGTCCTACAATGCCCTCTAAATATGCAATACTTTTGACTTTTAACATATACATATATATTTTAAAGTTGTCTTAAACACGGTGGTGTAATTTAAAACAGTGGGACCTCAGGGCTTTATATCTTAGGACCTCATCAAGTCTAAACCCAGCCCTGTTGTTTGTAAGGATTCTTTAATTATGTTTCCATTGTAGCCTTTGGAAATATGACCTTTTGATGCCTCAGTCTCTTCCACGGTGCGACTCTCGTACCTTCGTTAAAAATACCACGAGAGCGGGAGTTTTTAATCAATCGTCCGCCGATAAAAATGAACTTTAGTACTCGAGGATTATGACATTGTTGAACTCGTTTCACATTCGAGCGTGTCTACAAACTATAGCAAGAACATATATTGTTTATATAATTTTGTCATAATTTTGACATTCAAAATCTTTGTAATTTGATGAAAGAAATTGTTCAAATTGCACACAGGAATACCTAGGGATCTAGTTGGCAGTTATTTTGCATCTGAGTCATAGTCTTTAGGTGTACGGGTTTTCCCGTCAACTAATATAAACGCGCCATTGGATAACTAAGCGCTTCTTTTTTGGGGGGAGGGGGGAGGGGAGGGGGGGACAGGATAGCACCCTCTGATAACTAAAGGTTTGTGTGTCTACATTATATATATATCTACATATAATGTAGACAACTATCGACTATGTTATACATTAAATGATAGATAATCTCTCACTCGAACAGCAGAGTACAACGGGTGCCATTTACCGTAGCCATTACGGGTGCCGCAGTTATAATTTCTGTACAAGTTGAATTGGGTATCCAGGATTTGCCCTGTTAGTTTCCCATCCAGGATAAGACCTGAAGTCTCAGGTGTGGTCAAGCCTAAGGCTGCAGCTCGGATGGGACAACGGATAGACCAAATAACCAGACACCAAACATCGGTATCAAAGATCAAAGGATAGACATGAAAGCGTCTATACCTTCTCGTCGGGCTCACGACGATGTTATATTTAAGACGGGGGTGCAGGTGATAAAAACACCAATTAGACGACTGAGACGTAGACAGACAAGAATTCAGGACATGTTATGCAGCTAACCGGCAAACCTGATGGGAAAAGATAAGGCTAGAAACACCTGTCAAGTTTGACCATATACCAGGGGAAGGTCAAGAGGACAGACCTGATCCGTGATTCTGGTGCTCATGTGAGATCCCTACACTTATCAGTAATGCCAAAACCCCACAAACACACACCCCAGCCGCGCCGTCCCAGAGAAACATATTGGAAGGCGATGGGGCTTGAGACCTAGCTCCCCTTTCTGCCACCATAGATATTTCTAGTATTTTCTGGGTGGCCCAATGACCAAATCCTAGTTAAAGGGAATAATAATAATAATAATAATAATAATAATAATAATAATAATAATAATAACACTGCGATGAATGGTAAATAAATATTATAAAACATTTGAAAGAACAAAAAATGTTTGATTAACAAATACAATTAAAGAGTTTCTAGGCATAGTTCAAGGGGCTGACTGGTCTCCTTGCAAAATTATGAGGGGTGTGGAGAGGCGGGGGCTCGAGTAGCTTGAGCTCCAGATCCCGGTGCCTCTGTTCGCACCCCCACGGGTTTGTTGTACTGCGATGTATTGTAAAGATTTCCCTCTGGTGTTTCAACAAGTAACCTGTCGACTTGGTATCATTTCCCCAGGGAGGACTACTTGGAGATTCGGGTCTTCCTGGAGACGATGATGTTCAAACACGAAAAACATGATCCTCAGTACACCTACAGCTCTATATTTGGTGAGATTTTTTAGGGACATCACAACATATAGTTACAGTTATGGTGAGATTATTTAGAGAGATCACAACATATAGTTATATTTATGGTATAGTAATTTATGGATATTATCACAACGTATAGTTACATATGTTGAATGTTAAATTAAGAGACACTCGGGGCACTCCCATAAGTGCTCCGTCCTCATCTTCAGTAGCAAACGAAGAGTTCAAATTCCAGTGGCACAAGTAACTGATTGTAAATCCGTCTCGCCCTTTCCCTGAGTGTTGAGCATCGACCAGATCCCCTGGTAACTCCTTGCAGCGCCATTCTCCTCAGACCGTAATGATCCATCTGCGCCTCCGCACTGTTCACTCGATCTCAAAGGCCTTCACAACATCTACCTTGTCATGCATCAGTTTACCACCAAGCGGTGCTGAGCCGGCCAGTCTATCTGCCCGCGCATTTCCCAGCACACCGGCATAACCTGGAGAGATTATCCGAAGGATGCTAACTAGCCGGGAACTTTGAAGAATAGTTATATATATGGTGAGATAGTTTAGGGATATTATCACAGCATATAGTTATGTTTATAGCGAGATAATTGAGAGATATTATCACAACATATTCTTATATTTATGGTGAGATAACTGAGAGATATTATCACAACATAATGTTATATTTATGGTGAGATAATTGAGAGATATTATCACAACATATTGTTATATTTATGGTGAGATAATTGAGAGATATTATCACAACACATTGTTATATTTATGGTGAGGTAATTGAGAGATATTATCACAACACATTGTTATATTTATGGTGTGATAATTGAGAGATATTATCACAACATATTGTTATATTTATGGTGAGATAACTGAGAGATATTATCACAACATAATGTTATATTTATGGTGCGATAATTTACAGATATTTTCACAACTTATTGTTATATTTATGGTGCGATAATTTAGAAATTATTACAGAAACTTTTTTTGTAGAATCTCATGGACCAAGACAAAGAACAATGACATCCTGCATCATCTAAGGATCGAGAAGAACTGGCTCATAAACAGCATGCTGGCCCTGAAAGCTGAGGTATTTTAGCCATATTAAACGTCCTGGTGGCCTGGAGAGAATTGCGATGGAAGGAACAGTTACCGGAAAACGAGGCAGAGGTGTACCTCGGTGAACGTGGATACAGGATTCTGGAGATGCAATAAATATGAAAGCACATAGGGCTGAAGAACTGGCTAGACCCGAATATCTTGGTTCCAAATCCGAATTTAAACTTTAAAAAAAAAATCTCCATACACCAAGTGGGTTATTTATACGATGGTCTTCCCATTTACACATAACCTGTTGTAGGTCAACTCTATTGATAAGTTGGTTGGACTAGTCTACCGTGGTCGAGGTTATGGGTGTCGCAGTCTGTTGTTGTCTTGCATTTACGTTTTTATTTGCTAGAAAGAGACGGCCCGAGACACAGGTTTTGTTACTCTCTAGGGGGAGTTGTGTGTTAGACCCAGTATCTAAATGTTTGAGAAGTGTTAAAAGCTCTGGCATGGTGAAATGTACAACACACGGTGCGAGTACGGACCTTGTGTGAAAGTCGACTTATCAGAAATGAGGTGGGCTGTAGTTCGTCTAATCAGAAGCGAGCTAGTGTGTAACTGTGTTTATGGGCAAACCAACGTGTTTTCCTTCTCCATACACTGTGTGTTTCCCCTCTCCATACACGAAGTGTGTCCGCTCTCCATACACTAAGTGTTTCCCCTCCCCATACACCAAGTGTTTTCCCTCTCCATATACCAAGTGTTTCCCCTCTCCATACACGAAGTGTGTCCCCTCTCCAAACACTAAGTGTTTCCCCTCCCCATACACCAAGTGTTTTGCCTCTCCATACACCAAGTGTTTTCCCTCTCCATACACGAAGTGTTTCCCCTCTTCATACACCAAGTGTTTCCCACACTGCATGCTCGATTTGCCCAATTTACTTCAACACAATACCAACTGTGACTAGAAGGCTAAAAGATGATAGTGATAATGAAACAGGCGGGTACAAATACAACCGAATGGTTCTACAAATGTTTTTATCAACAAAGAAACAGTAGGAATCATCAACACAGTAGCTCATCCTGTTCCTGGATTATGCATTTCCAGTCTGTACGATCTTCTAGCTGTAACTTGTGTGTCGTGTTGGAGACTAGGAGAATTGCTGGAGAAGCACGCTGGACCTAAAATCATGTGATGCTGTGATAATATTTGTGAAGATGTGCATGTAAGCTATTTTACTTTTTATATATTTGGGTGCTTTATTAATTTCCTACCCCCAAATGACGTCATAGGACAGTCCAAACATTTTAGAGGGTGGTAAGACTGGGTTTTCCAGCTTTCTGATGCTTTTAACAACACCAAAACATCTAAAACTGGGCCTAACCCCAACCCACCTATATCCCACAAGAGAGTGCAGCCTAGGTCGCACTGCATGCAGCTTAGGTGCCACAACTGCATGCAGCCTATCTACCACCCCCTGAAATATAAGACTGCCCTGTGACCTGTGGATATCCCTGTTTGGGGTAGGATATTAATAAAGCACCGATGTTTGTATTTATCTCTTTTTCTTTCAGCTTTTCTTGGAGGACAGATGGGTTTCTTTGTGGGAGCAAGCCTGATCACGCTAGCCGAACTGCTGGAAGCCATTGTCCTGTCCGTATTCGTCTTTATCCACAAGCTACTGAGAATGGGCCAGGTTTCTTCCACTTCTCAAGTCAAACCGACGAAATCTTAACTCTAATGGTGGATACAGACCACTTTATTCATTCCACCTCAATTCATCAAATGTCGATTAGTTACTGATAACCCCAGAATGACACAACATTCTCTGTCTACTCCGACAGATGGTAATCCACGGAAATCTCGGCAGCTGATCTGGCAAAGCCATGTTGGTAATGTTAGTTTCAGCTTCAAAGCAAATGAGTCACCCCATAGTAGCTCTGCTCCTGTGCTAACGAAAAACACACAGAATGTTTATCACAGTCCCTTGTGGAAAGATTATATGTCTGCTGCCTCAGCATATGCACTAGCATACACATGCATTAAAAGCATACGGTAGCCATCAGAAGTGCTAACACAAACAGTCCGACATTAGAAATGCAGTTTATCGTCGACGGTAACAGAAGTCACCAACAGTTAGCAGTTGCACACGCGATCAATTTGAATCACATAAGGGCACCACCAATATTGCGACGACAGGCCACGTGCCATTTTCGGATCTACAATTCACAACTCCACGTTGGTCAGTAAAAAAACAACATTCTAAATCAAATCCACAGCTCACAGGGTCGCACCATGCACTCAACTCAGTAGCTGAGCAACGAAATTATATCTTTTCAGTCTACAAATGGAGCAAAAATGCAACGGCCACCATCTGGCAGAAGAAACAAATTTGCCACGACTCACAACATTGACCGTGCCTAGCGTCCATTTTGAGCGGAAGCCCTCAGACTTTAGGTCTTATCCTGGATGGGAAACCAACAAGGCAAATCCCGGATACACTATTCAACTTGCACAGAAATTGGCGCAGCCATGTCCATCCCATGGATGTAAATAGGCAGAAACACGAACCACGAACATGAGTTGGAGAAAACCAAGTTACTGTTACAGATTAGAACATGACGGTGTTGACATGATGGGCAGACCTACTCAGACAGGGTTCTTTGGGATCAAAATGGAGCACTGTGGAGTAGTTCTACTAAATGGGTCTTGAAGACAGCGGTGTACAACTCGAAAACACCAAAGCAAACTTAGAATCCCAAACTACAAGACAGCCTAGAATCTGGTTCTATAGAGCAATCCTGAAAAACAAACTATAAGTCAGTGGTTCTCAACCTATAGGTCGCGATCCATCTTGGCGTCGACGACTAGTTCACAGATGTCGCTTAAGACCATCGGAAAACACATATTTATTGATTTTGTGAAGTGGCGATAAAAAACAAATGTTATGGTTCGGGGGTCGTCGAAACATGGGAAACTATTAAAGGGTGACGGCATTAGACATGTTGAGAAGCACTGCTATAATTGAATATATCGAGTTTATATTCATGATCTGTGTCACAGTGTGCGAGAATCAAATGTTGACCGCTGAAAAAGAGTGTGAGTTGTTTTCAAAATGATAAAAACTGTCTTCAGAAAAATATGGGGTATACTGGACAACCGCTAGGTGTGTTGGTTGGTGCACTGGACAACCGCTGGGTGTGTTGGTTGGTACACTGGACAACCGCTGGGTGTGTTGGTTGGTACACTGGACAACCACTGGGTGTGTTGGTTGGTACACTGGACAACCGCTGGGTGTGTTGGTTGGTATACTGGATAACCGCTGGGTGTGTTGGTTGGTACACTGGACAACTGCTGGGTATGTTGGTTGGCACAATGGGCAACCGCTGGGTGTGTTGCCAAGTGCCATGTTCAAATCCAATCCCTAAACATCGAGTTGTTAACCTCTATACTAACTGGTGGGACCAGGGTCTTGTTCTGATGGGGTTTTACTTAAACAGGCAAGGACTAGGTAGATTCCGACCATGTTATTGAGATTTCCAAGTTGGTGTGCGAGACACCTCTACAGCTGATCTACCACAATCGCAGTAGACATCATGGCGTGTTATGTTATTACAGTAAGGATCGTTTAATCGTGTTATCATGGGGGATATCATGAGATATCATGTGAGAGACTATGATATATCATGTTATCATGGGAGAGATCATGGGAAATGTTATCACGGGGAGATCATGGGATATCATGTTATCAAGGGGATATCATGGGATCTCATGTTATCATGGGGGATATCATGTTATCACAGGGGAGATCATGGGGTATCATTTATCACAGCCAGGAAAACTAAGACAGGGGAAGGCTAACCCAGGCAACAAATGCCTGCAAAAGCCAGATGGGTCGGCCAAAAGGCGCAAATGTCACAATCGTGTTGTCAATGGCACAAAGCAGTTATGTCTACGGATGAAAACAGAAGAAGATGATATCACAGTGGAGATTTCAGAAAAAATACTTTCTTCGCTGGCCAGACTGTCTGCTTTACCAGTATGTGCCAAAAGAAACATACAAAGAGGGGATAATCTGTTTGCTACCTGGCGCTAACACATAAGCCTACCTGCTGGCAAGTTTTATATCATAAATTATGAGGACAGACAGTATTATATCAGCCTGAGGATTTAGGGTGGCATGGCCAGTGAAGTTGCCACAAACTGTGCAAGTAAGGATTTTATTTTTTGCCCTTGGCAGGAAAAAAATTATCCATAATCTTACAGAGGATTTGAACCTGGTCTCCCGCATGAGAGGCCAGCTTCTTAACTCTTTGAGTCCCAGAGGGTTCAGCATCACAGGCCCAAGGGGTAGTCAAGAGACACGTTAAATCGACGCATCATGCGTTCATTGGGCTTCTAGGCAGTAGCCTATGAACGTATGATGCGTTTCTTGGGACTCAAAGAGTTAAAAGGTCTGCAACATTTGATGCTGATGATCAAAATGTTCATAACACATTGAGCCTTTGTACAACCATTGAAAAAAAAAAATTTAAAAATTAAAAACATTTGCCAACTGGGATTGCAGTTTGAAAGATTGAACTCCAATGACTCAAAGAGCAATTTGTTATGTGCAGTCCAACAGAAACAAATCTAAGAAACCCTTATAAAACAATTGTGAAATAACTGTTTCTTCTTCTTCAAGTTCACCGGCTACAAACTCTGGTGGAAAGATCTGGTTGTTAGTTCACTACTGGACTTTGATATTGTTCCAAAACTTGGGTTTTGTGTGCATATAGATTTTACAATTTTGACTCATTTGTATGCAGACAGTTGGTTGATTGCCAACAGAGAACTACAGAAAACCCACCCCTTGCCTTTTTCTAGTCATTTCGTTGTTTATGTTAAGACTTTTGTAGAAACATTCATTAGTATCTGCATGTGTATCTTTTTTTTTCCACTGAAAATCCCAGTTATATTTTTTTTTATTCATTCAATTTTAATTTCTTGATCTGTTGCACTGACTTGTATGAAACTCACAGGTAATAGGACGTGATTCATGAATGAACAGACACGGTACTCACCAACAGAATATGTGCACTGTGGCATTTTAATCAACAACATACCAGAGTAACTGTACAAAAATGGTCACACAATACAGGAAGCCAAATTTTAACAGCTGGAGTATAATATCAAAACTTGCATATAATCACACAAGAGCAGGCAAAAGTATTACAAGAAACATTAATAAAAGAGAAGAAGCTGGCCAAGTGGTAAGAATGTCTCGCAGAAAATCCAGGTTCGAATCACCATTAATTTTTCTGTCTGTGGTAACCACACACAAACAAAATTTTAAAAGAAAAAAAAGTTCAAGGTGGTGGCACTAGCCATGCAGCTCTAACCCAGCAGCTCAAGTACCCTTTAATGATGCTATCCCGGATGAGTGCCCCATTGTAATGATGATATTTGTCCATGCTGGCTGGGTAACGGGCGACAATCTGTGGATATCTGGGAGCTCAGCATTGAAGCCTACAATGGCATAAACTTGTTTAGCCTCTCCCATGGTCTGGGTTTAGCACCATGCTTTTTATTTTTGTTAAAGACTTGGATTAAAGCTTAAGGAGCGCTGCTTGACTGCTCTGTTACTGATATGTTCGAGCGATAACACAACTGCAAGTGTTCTCAGACACAAACAAGTGCAAACTGTTTCACAGCCCAGCTGAACAGTAAATCCAGAATGACGCCATCACTTCTCTAAACTGTATCTTTTTAAATACATTTATTTTTAACATCAATGCGCACAGTCTATTTCTAAATTTATTTCACTAATCACAACCACTAATATTTGCAGCTAAATTATTATACAAGTGACATTCAAGGCATATTGAATGTTACATTCTCACTCCCGGATCTCTAGTTTACAGCAGACCAAGAACTCAGTTCTCTTTCATCTCTTTGGCCTTGGGTATTCCATGCCACTCATATCCTTGCATAGCTATGCCTAGCTGGTCATGGCACTGACCTACAACTCCAAACAAGATCATTAGAACCCTCTGTCTGCACCATCTTAAAAAGTGGTACTATAGGCAGTAACGACATCAACACACGTTGATGCAAAAAGCAGCTATTATTAAAAGTAAACCCATTTTTTTTTCTTCATTTTTCTTTATGTTCACTCCATAAATTCTAGAGGAAAGTCCTGGTTGTCCATCTGCTTCTGGACTTTGGGCTTGTTCCAGAATTTGAGTTTTGTGTGAAGATCCCTTTCACAGATCTGGCTTACCTGTAAGCAGACTGTTGGTTTCTTGCCTCTCAGGCAGGTGCACTCTGATTTAAAAGAAAACATTCTTAATTAGTCGACTCTTATGACCTCTTGTTAGGGGGGGGGGGGGGGGGGCAATGGGTCAATTCTTTTTACCCTTCCCCCACAAAGGGGCTGAAGATTCCACACAGAGAGAATCCTGTTTCAGTAGTGTAGTTTGCAATAACAAGTTTGCAGATTCAAGGTATAGTCAATAATTCTGGTCTTCGCTTGAACTGTCAGTTTCTTTTTCATGTGCATATGCCCTTAAAAGGGGGACTGGCACATTGTGTTAAAGTTTACAGCAAGGCTGTGATATCTGTACCTTTCGTCCCAACACATCTCATTTCAGCAAAATCCCTCAACGGTAATCTTTTACGTCATGCTGTTGGGGTCTACTGCAGTGAGTCTATTCCCCCCCACCCCAAGGGGGAACGGGACCCATATTGGGATCAGCTTCAGTAATGCGTTTTTTTTTTGTAGTGACTTGTTTACAGTAAAAAGATATGATATATAAGACTGGTCTAAGCTTGGCAAGGGACAGTTGATTTTCTGCAGCCAGTGAGTCCCCACCATCCCAAAATGTGTTCTTTTCCTTGTTACATTTGATCATAAACATGTTCAGAAATCTGGCATCTTCAGTGGTCAATTATGCTGTATCTTCGTCTCTGATAATCGTGTACTCATGATATGTCAAAATTACCTCTACCCTGCCATGTCGTATTCTTGAAACGAGTTACATAATTTATTAAGTTAAAATTGAGAGGATCAACTTTCCTTGTTCCAAATTATCCCAGATGGCTCAATCTCTGTCTGCAAAATGGCTAGCTCCCCACAGTGGGTGTCACGCAAAGCAAGAATTCTGTAGCTCCAGTATTGATTCTCATGGATCTACGTAAAAACAACACTACTGAAAGACACATCCAAACATTTATAAACAGACTTCAGTTATTCTCTGGTTCACCCTCTTTCAATATGACACAAGTTAAAGAGCTTCGAAAACTCGTTTATATTGTACAAAAATTGATTTAACGTCCATGCTTCACCCGGTTTAACTGGCATAAATGAGAGAGAGCTGTGTTTCATTCAGGTACTGGTGGTTAAATGTCCGGAGTCAGTGATAAAGGTCACCATTTTAACCAAATCAGAGTGGAACTTCAGTGGAGTGTTGGCTGGGTGTATGCAATAGGGAGAAGATCTGCACACTCCTGCTGATTTCTGGAACAATTACACTTGTCCCTCTTTATAAACTACTTGTGCCGTTCCGAGTCGTAGGAAGGTTTAATTTGTGATCCAGTGTATGCTGGCTGGCACTCGCCATTTTCATACCATGAAGGAGTAAAGTGTCTGTAATGTTGTCCATTGGATCTTATATAGTAAATAAAAGGAGCTAGTAAGGCAAATCAGCACCAAACGTGGACACTTACATCTTCTAAAGATCGTAAATTTGTGAGATCACAGATGAAATGCCTTTAGAAGAGCTGCAGGATTTCTGAGCAGAAACAGAATACGAAATCAGACAAATGCTAGGAATAAAGCCAGTCTTACAGACCATCAAAGAACAACACATGAAGTGGTTTGGACACCTAACAAGAATGCCCTGCTACTATCTGCCACAGCGAGGCCACACTGAAACATTACAAGGGGTATAGAGCTAGCGGAAGAACTTGGAAAAGATGGAGTGATGGCATTAAGAACAGCCTTACAGAAATGAACATAAATCTTAATAGTGCTCTTGACAGAGCTCATCAATGAATGTTACGTCTCCCCCTGACACTTCATTGAGGTACAAGGTGGAAGAGAAGAAGGAAGGCAAAAGCAAACACAAATTAGAGGATGCTTTCTGTATTGAGTATATGGTACCAGAACTTTATATGAGGTGATATCAACCTGACGTCTGCAACCTTGACTACTGAAGAGATTTCATTTGACCCATTTTAAGCTGCATCAATCCGGGAGTCCTAGTCAACTTTAAAAAACTAATATCTCCATCTGAAATAGGAGATCAGGCTACACTGCGCTAATCTGGGCCAGGGTTGCATACAGTAAATTAAACAATATAACAGTTTAAAAATTATAGGATACAAATATCAATAACTCCAAGAACCTGAGAACAGAAAATTGCACTTAAAATGATAACCACAAGATAAATCATGTATGTAATACTTTGTTTAAAACATGTACATGCACGTACATATTCAGATAATCACAGACAAACACAGGAATAGAGAAAACTGACATTTACATGTTCTAGTGAACTTAAATATTCTATTAAAATGTTCTGTCTATACGAGTGAACCTTCATGCTTTAGAAGACTTTCCTTTTAACTTATTTGAGCGAATCTTCATGTTCTAGTGATTTTTGCCCTGCTTACATATGTGAATGAACTTATATGTTCTAGTGAACTTTCCTATCTACATAACTGAGTGCACATACATGTTCTAGTGAAATTTCCCGCCTACATATCTGAGTGAACCTACATGCTTTAATGAACTTTTATGTCTACAAACGTGAATGAGCCTCCATGTTCTAGTGGATTTGCCTGCCTATATTCACAGACAGGTATGCACACAACACTAGTTTTAAACAATCTGAGAAAGTATGAAGACATCTATCTGTCTGTCTGAAAATTTGCACAAGTTAAAAAAAAATTATCACATTTAGGATTTATCCATTCTTGATAAATGAACATTTTCTGGTCATAAATATGCAGATGCAGCTAGCGTTTTTCAGCTTTGGAAGATTAAAAATAGTATGTCAATTATAACATTGCTTTACATAAATATGCGTACATCTGAAATAACATTTTTCTACAAAATGTTTTTTATAAAATGTATTTAGCCTTTTTCTCGCACAATTCTCACATGTTTTGTAAAATTATTGTTCGTTAAGAATAACATTTCTTGTCTGAATAATATAAGCTTTTCAAAATACTGATTTACTGTTTGAAACTGTACAAATGTTTCCTTAAGTGTCATATTTTGTATCCGATAAACTATGAAATTACTTTCAGGAAGAAGATTAACAATATCTTTTTATTTTCTACTCCATTGTTTACTCTTAAAAGGGCGCCAGGCACATGGTCTTGTGGTTTACAGCTAGGTTATAATATCTACCATTTTGTTTACCAAAATTTCAACAACCTCCGAATCAGTTCACCTTTGCGACATCCTTGTTAGGGTCAAGTGAGTGCAGCCCTCTCCCCTCCCTCAAAGGGCCCCTTGAACCAATAGGGGGTATCAACAAATTAATGAACTATATTTTCATCAAGTTTTTCTTTATCAAACCACAATAAAATAACAACAATAATAAAGCTAATTACATTTTTTTCTGTAAAAAAAAAAAGATTAAAAAAAAAAGTTTCAGTGGCAACTAATGATCTGCTAGAGTATATAGCACACAGCTGCAAAAGCAGCAAATCATTTGTACAGCAGTTTCTCTTTAACACTTTCAGTACCAGACACAATTCAATTAATTATAAATCATCGCATGAAGCACTCTGCTGTACTAGAAGACTTAAAGACATTCAGTAGGCGTAAGTGCGGCAAACTGTCTTTAAGAAGAGAATGTTTTCAGAGCTCACCACAAAATAAAAACCGACACTTACTATTTTGTAATTATAAAATTATGAAACGTGATGAATAATAATGAAAAGATTCTCAATGAATGGCAACCAAACACACACACAATTGTTCTTTGTAGTTTTTGTCAGTGAAAGCTGCCTCAATCAAAGCTGCAACTTTTGAGAAATTACTGGGGGTAATGAGAAATTCCATCAAGGTTTTCAGACAGATAACCTACAAATTACTGGGGGTAATGAAAAATGCCATCAAGTGTTCAGACAGATAACCTACAAATTACTGGGGGTAATGAGAAATTCCATCAAGTGTTCAGACAGATAACCTACAAATTACTGGGGGTAATGAGAAATTCCATCAAGGTTTTCAGATAACATACAAATTACTGGGGGTAACAAGAAATGTCATCAAGGTTTTAGGACGTTTTTCTACAAATTACTTCAGAGTACAGGATATATAATTAATGGCTTTAGTTAGTTAATCTGTAAATTACTGAAGAGAACGAGAAATGCCATCAAGGGCTTCAGCTAGTTCTGCTAATTACTGGTCAGCTTCTCTAACAAGCATGTCCTACAAGGCAACTAATTAGAGGGGTTTCATTCAAAATCAGAGCACATATATCGGAGAGGTCAGGAACCAACAATCTGCATACAAATGAGCCATTTATGTAAAACGGATGTGCAGGCAAAACTCAAATTCTAGAACAAGACCAAAGTCCAGAAGTGAACTAACAACCAGAACTTCCTGCCAGAGTTTACAGCCAATCAACTCTTCAGAACTTCCTGTCAGAGTTTACAGCCAATCAACTCTTCAGAACTTCCTGTCAGAGTTTACAGCCAATCAACTCTTCAGAACTTCCTGCCAGAGTTTACAGCCAATCAACTCTTCAGAACTTCCTGTCAGAGTTTACAGCCAATCAACTCTTCAGAACTTCCTGCCAGAGTTTACAGCCAATCAACTCTTTAGAACAACAACAAGAGACCAGAGAAGATAAAAAAAATGCCTGGGCTCCATGTCCAGTAAAGTAAGCAGTGAAAGTTAAATGCCCTCTTGCACCACTGTTAGATCAGACATCTAGTGTTAGACAAACTTTTCTACAGACATTTCGGCACTTAATGCCTGACGTGCTCAACGTCTTTTTGGCCACTTTTATTACCTTTTTTTTTAAACGCCTGATGACCTGGGAGTCAACATCACTGAAAAAATCCAGCAGAATGAACATTTGCAGACAAGACCTTCAGCGGGGGTAAGTGTCTAGCTACTGTAATATTGAGGCTCCCCTTCTTGTAAACTAGTGGGCAACATTCTGACTACTTCCCTTTGTTGTATCTTGAAATACTGATTTCTTCCCTGTTATATCTAGAAACATTTCTTTACTTTGTTTCATCTTGAAATACTGATTTCTTCCCTGTTATATCTAGAAACATTTCTTTACTTTGTTTCATCTTGAAATACTGATTTCTTCCCTGTTATATCTAGAAACATTTCTTTACTTTGTTTCATCTTGAAATACTGATTCTTCACTGTGTTAATACTAGACATATCAATTCCTTTGCCTTGTTATATCTTTAAAAAAAATGCAAATTCCTTCCCATTTTTTATTTTGTTCACTTTGCAATTATACAAGTAGTAATCCTCCACTTTGCTCTCTGTAGATTTGATTTTACTCAAGTGGTAATGTATATTTGCTGTTAGAGATACTGGAACAAATGGTATCTGATCTAAATTCTCTATAGCTGAATGCTTGACTAGGGATACTATTATAAGAGAGAGTCAGAAAGATGTGAAAGGAAATAAAAATAAAAAGAATATGTCAAAATGCGTTAAAATGTTACCATAGCTTCACTTTTTGTTTTTAAATTTTGGACTTTCTGAACGTGACTTTTCAGACTTTGATTTCGGACCTTTGTGTTTTTCTAGTTTCTCTCTGCGCTCAAAATTTCCAGATTTCAACTCAAGGATTTCAAGTTCATGACTGCTGGTACCGCTGTCTTCTCTAGCACTCTGGTCATGTGAGCTCTCCAGTGCTGTCACAAAGAAAGCAGATTCGGTATGACTCGTGTTTATGGCTGAGAAAGACGGTCTGGAGTTAGAGCTGGTCGGGATTTTTTGTGGGCCAGAAGACCTCCGAGGCATCAAGGAGAAACGCCGAGTATTTATCTGCAGACGGATTGCTGAAGGTATATCTAGTAGGGCAGAGTCACTTGCTGTTAAAACAAAAAACAAAACAAAAAAGTAAAAATTAGCAATGGAACTAAAACAGAAAAGTAGAGACAAATGTTTGAAAGCATACAATGTATGTTTACTGACATAATCTTGACACAAACAAATTTATTACTGCCATGAAGAAAGCTCTCATGGCTACAATAATAAAACTGATGACTACCAAGTTCTACAGGACGTGGCTCCATATCAGAGGGGGATTTTAAAGGGAGAAACCTATTGCTCCCATCAAGCATATTGTGAAAGGTGATTACTTCAGGGTTTGTTAAAAGTGTGTTAGACTGAAAGTTGCAGATATCGCAGCCTACCTGTAAACCACAATACAACATGTCAACGCCCTGATGAGGGTGAATGCAACAGAAACATTTCTACAGCACTGATAGACAATGACACCCCAGCTGAAGTGTTGTGCTGAAACAGATCTTATGTTTGACAGGGAGGGAATCTTGATCAACAAACCAGGACGAGTTGAGAGGCAGCGGATATATGGTTTCTAACATTCATGTCTTGTCAGCCAACTTCTGATTGCTGCCTTATGCTTTCAATGTATGTCTTTGCTAGTGGATATGCTGAGACGGCAGTCTGGGACATTTTCCCCACAAGGGACAGTGATGGACATTCTGTGTGTTTTTCATTGGCACAGGAGTGGAGCAGCAATGAGGTGACCCTTTGCTATGTAGCTAAATCTACAAGAATTTACAAAGAATAACTTGGAGATATAGTTTCTATGATACGTGTTCTGATTATCTTTGTGAGCTAGATTAACTAGCAAGGATTGCCTGCATGAGGCTGCTGAAATTTAAGAGACAGCGTTCTTTGGTCGTGTGAAGAGAACAGAATTCATCTCTAGCGTGTGGCTAGAGAGCTGAAGGTAGCAAAGACTTGAGTTAGACAGAAAGAAATTTACCAGAAAGTTTCAGACAGTGGTATGGCGGAATATCAAGTGAAATGTTCATACGAATGAATGAATTAATCAATCAAAAACTGATATTACTGCACTCTGGACATTCCCACATGTGTTCTATCCCCTTCTTCAGTAGCTAATGAAGAGCTGATATGACAACAGTACCAGTTGCAATAATATTAACAGTACCCCCCCCCCCTTTTGATTTAGTCTTTCAGCGTAAGGATTGCCTATCTGTTCTCTTGCACTCTCCTTTGATCCCACAGTCTTCACCACATCCGCTTTATCATATAGTAGCTCACCGCCAAGAGGGCTGGCAGCAGCTGATCTATCAGCCTGTTCATTACCTCACACATCTAGATATCCTGGACAGAAAATCCATGTTATGCACTTGATCTGGGTCTTATCAAGTGATACAAGTGTTCAGATTATGCCACATAATGTGAAATGTTCAGAAAACTTCACATACTTCTAGTAAAAAAGTAAAGGACCCTTAACCACGCCTTTAGGCGTATTGGGCATATAGGGCTAGACCTATATTTTATAGACCAATCAGCACAAGATGGGTGATGTGGTCAGCCTCATGCCGGCCGCCTCTACTTCCCAGGACTGCACCCGGTACCCACTCAAGGCTGGGTCGACCTGGGAGTCAAGGTCATTTTTTAAAAATAGTCCGGCTCCACCAGGGAGTGAACCCACGACCTTATGATCCTTGGCGTGCATCTAGCTGCTCTGCCATGGCTACTCCCACATACTTCTAGCCTGAAAAAAAATAATGGTTACATGTTTGACAAAGAATCACCCAACATAGCCAGATCTAAACTTAGTTCCCTGCCTGAAATATTTCCTCTATCTTAAAAACCGAATTTGCATATTATTTACTGCAAGACTTCTTCCAAAGGTCAGACTATAGAAAATTAATTAACTTAATAATTCTAAATCTGAATCTACACCCTGTCTTCATCTTAAAATTATAAATACAGATTCAGCTAATGTTTTATTCAGTTTTCTGCGTGTTTGGGGGACATAATGATCTTCTTTTTCTTCTCTTCCACCTTGTACCTCATCATAGTGTCAGGGGGAGATAAAACACCCGTTGATTATCTCTGTCAAGAGCACTATTAAGAATGGTGTTATTTCTTTAAATGCTATCACTCCATATTTTCCTAGGTCTTCCACTCGCTCTATACCCTTTGTAACGTTTTAGTGTGGCTCGCTGTGGCAGATAGTACCAGGGCATTTTTGTTAGATGTGGGGGACATAATGATACACTAATTAAATAATGTCATGTATAAAGACCAAGCTCCCTCTTCCAGCCAATGGCGTCTCAGTCATAGATTGCTATATGCTAATTGTTACAGACCAATCGAAGGATACTGTGGTCTGTTAACAGACGGTACAATTCATCTTTACTTCCAAAGTTTTTTTCTTATACTTTTTCAGACTGGGTCGACCTGGCAGGTAATAACAACAATCTACATCAATGCAAAAGTGAAGTACCAATGGGTGACTAAAACCACAGCTAAAGAATCATAGTTCTCTAAATCTATTATTTTTTGGGGCGCGAATCTTGTCTTCAATATTACCAAGCCAATGCAGTATAATTTTGGGTGCTCTACTTTTATCATCATATCTCGTTTATCAAATTTGCAGAAGATAAATATTTATATCCCCTATATGTCATTGTTGAAGTATAAGGCATTCACAAGTGATTTCCCTTGCTTCCTGTCTGCTGCTTGTCTGCCCATGGTTTTCTATGCCACCACCTTACATTCCATCATTTCCCTTTCTGCTATCCTTCTCTGAGTTTCCTTGGGTCATCCATGTCTCATTTTTCCTTCTGTCATCTATCAGAGAGCTGTCACTGCCAAAGTGTCATGAGGCATTCTGCAAACATGTCCAAGCGGCCTCCATCTGCTTCTTTTGATAATGTTTGCCAGTTGTGGTTCTTTATTTGTGGTCTTGTTTAGAGCACATCAATGTCAAGGTAAATTACAGGACCCGTTTCCACACCTTCAGAAATAATGGGCATATAGGGCTCAACTTATATTTTATAGACCAAATAGCACTGGGTGGGTGATGTGGTCAGCATCACGTCGGCTTTTACTTCCCGGAACTATACCTCGTACATGCTCAATGCAAAAGTCTGGCTCTCTCAGGACCCGAACCCACAATCTTCCAAACCACTGTCCAGCATCTAGCTGATATACTACAATCGCTCTCCCATAAAAAATGTAGAGAATTAAAATTACTGATTAAAAAAAGGGTAAACATATGCGTAAATGCATCACAGATACATACAATGAACACTGATATTATATAATGAGGATACAATAATGATTATAAAACATGCTGAATGAAATAATATGAAACAATATCAAAGTAATATAACACAATTTCAAACCTATGAAATGTGAAATAAAAAATTTCAAATAACAGAAAAGCAAACATGCAACAGCTGTGTATAAATTTAGAAAGAAAGAAAAAAAATGAGTTACAGAAACATTATCTACAGAAGCAATTAAACATTCTGGTGCCAGTTCCCATCATGCATCACTAAAGATGATATTGTGCTGAAGAAACAAAGGAACCATTTGGTTTTTTTTTACACACACGTACACACACACACACACGCACCCACGCACACACACATAGAGAGAGAGAGAGAGAGAGAGAGAGAGAGAGCAGGATACAATTGTCTACAAGCTATTAGAAAACTGAAAGATCTACATAATTCTATCAATGACAGAAAGTATTGTGTGTAAGCAGCCATGCTTTAGTGAATCTGCCAGATTTTGAAGCTGAAACTCACGCAATATCAGGAATTAACTAGTTCACTTCCTTTCCTTGTTGGAAAATGGAGAAATAATTCACAAATTACAAAAAGCAAACAAATAAAAGATGCAATAAAGTTTTATTCTATGCTATGTTATATTAATAAAAACAGAAACTATACAGAGTTAATCTGTGTGTGTGTGCACATGTGTGTGTATGTGAGTGAAGAGAGAAAAGAGGAGGTAATTACAAATTATAGAAAAACATAAAAATGCAGAAAAAGAAAAAAATACCAACACTTTATTATAAACCATCCTATGTTTAAAAACAATAAAGTACAGAGATGAGTATGCAAATACTAACATAAGATCTTGGTAAATTACTAATCTATCTATATATACAACTTTTCACTTTTTTGCAAAAAAAATACTGAGACAATGAAATACTCTTTAAATGTACAGTTCTCATGATAGCCGAGCAAACGATATAAAAACTGTTAAATATAACTGTTTAATCTTTATTGCAGACATCTGTCACAAAGATTTTTTAAAGCATCACCAATCCTTTTTTTCTCCCAGTTTGCTAACTCCTCAAAAGAAGAGCAACATTTCCAAATGAAAAGTTGGAAGAAACTACATTGTCAAACTTACAAGTATCAAGTACTGCTACTAGATATAAAGAAAATGAAATCTTACAAAATGACACATGAACAGTTTTGAGCAAACTAAGAATAAAACACAATGAAACTGTAACAAATAAAATATTCAGGGAACAAACAAAGAAATCTATACTTTAAATCATAAACCTTTTCTGTATTTTGTGTGTCATTATAAATGAAAATTTAGCTCCTACCAAACCATGACCAATACATGGGTTAAATTTCCACTTATCATTATGACTACAATGTTTAATTTAACAGTCACAATGGCAGCCAAGGTTACCATGCATTTCTATTCTTTGGCCACAAATGTCAGCAGAAAATTAACATGGTTTGCATAGTATTAATAATGACACCACATCAAGAACATCAAAAAATAAGATACTTTTACAGATCAATTAAATAAATAAAATAAATCATGCTATTCAGAAAAAATAATTTTATACACAATAATTAGCTGGCAAATACAACAGATGGTCAAATCAGATTAATATGAACTAAAAATGACTTTACGATCTGGCAACTTACCTTAAAACTAAACGAGGGAACAAATCCAAGAAAGCAGACAAGTAAAGAGGGGAAGTCAGGATAATGTGATTAGAAATAATAACAACTGGTTACAGCCAACAGTTCTATGGTTAGAAAGG